TGCCACGAATCTTTCCCCATCCACGCGTCTAACGCGCACAAAGTACTGCGCCTGCCACGAAATGTCACCTCCCTCACACCTCGCAACCTCACGATTCCCTGCGCCTGCCACGAGAATTGCACTTCCACGCTTCAAAGCCCGCACGAAGTCCTGCGCCTGCCACGAAAAGTGACAATATCATCGCATGTGAGCTTCAACAAAATTTGCACCACACCACACGTTTGGAATGATTTCGACCCGTTCAGAGCACACTCCCATCCATCAAAATCGCCATTTCAGCTGAGACTTGTCACGAAAACAGAGCTTCGATGCCACACCCTGAAACGCAAATCCCAATGGCACGGCCACATCCAACACCCCAAAAACACGACTCTCCAAACGCTAATCCCAATGGAACTGCGCCGTAATCTGCGGATCTCACAAAACGCTGCGCCTGTGCAGCGAAGTGCATCACGTTTCTTGCGCGACATGTCCGTGTCACGCAAATCACAATGGAATAGCGGCGCAAACTGACACGTGACACATCCATGCAAAGTCACTTGCAAAAGCTTCCCCCAATGGCAGCAAATTTGAGACGCGACGACGACGACAGACGACGAGAGACGACGACAGACGACGACACGACGCAAGCCACGCGAACACAGCTCCAACCCCCAGACCCCCAACTATAAACGGGAACCCTTCGCTACGCATTCGGGAAAAAAAAAAGGCTTCCCGCACTTCAACTGTGCAATGCACTGTTCTGCCAGATTTCCCCATGCCTTTCGCCTAGAGTTCTGTATACAGACCCCCAAATAGATAGAGTAAATCCCCACTAGTTCTGTATTGGACACATTTGGAAACCATTTCTACCTCTTTGGGGACCAACAACACTCGTTTTTGGGCATCGTTGCAGTTCGGCACCGGTCCGTACGACCGTCTTCAGACCTCTCGCGCTGCAGTACCGGCCCAGGTACTGGGCCAGGACGCGCCCATGCCGCCGAACATGGGACATGCCTCAAGCTTCCAGCCTTTGGCGCCTCGGCGAATCGCCACGTGGTGCGGTTCTTCCCGCACCAGGTGCTTTTTCGGAGTCGATGGAAACCAGCAGGTGAATCGTGTTTGCTCTTAAGTGCTCATTCACATGTTGCAGACATGCTATTGTTCTGCAAAAATATCATTCAAACGTTCAAATATAGTCCAATATATTTGTACCCTTTGGATCCTTTGGGCCTCTTCCCCGAACCAATTCACCTGATTCTACTTCTTTCCACTACTCGCAAAGTACTGCTTCATGTTGAATTTTCTGAGACCCTGGAGGACACCAAATAACAACTTGTTGCATCTGTTTGTTGCAACGGGAGGAACAAAGCTCGTCAGAAATGCCAAACGCAAAACTCTTCCACCCCCAAAAAAAACAGAGTGTGTACATGTGTGTACTTGTAATTCCACTTGGAAAAATCTTTGAAGAACACACGAAATACGAAGGAGGTCGCTCTGATCATCCGACGGTGAAGCCCCCCCTCCCTGGTGCCCCAATCATATCTTGGGACCACGCAGAACCGCGGTCTGCGCGGTCTGGTCGCCGCTCGCCCGAACCATACGCAGCTCTCGGGTGAGGTCACTTTCACTCACTGAACTGCCCTCTCGTTGGATCATCAGAGTGGGAGATTTCTTCCCCTTTCTCCCCTTCGTGAAACCGCAAGAACGTTGGACACCGCCGTTCTCCACCGCTTCTCACCGTGGACCAGCGGCCCATGGAGCGTGTGATGGCCAAAATGCTCTCCTGGATGGATGGCAGGATGGCAGTCCGGTGAAGCAGCGGAAGAGGTCAAATGAGACAAAGAACCGGTCGGGGTGAACAAGAGAATTTAACCTACCTATGTTTATCCATTCACCAATAGTTATATAACTATATATATCACAAGAGTCTCCACATTAAAAGAAAAAGACATCACCAGTTGAGATCTTTTTCAGGCCCAAAGCTCCAAGAACGCAGAGTAAACAACCGTGGGAGGAGCCAATTGCTTCTGTTCAACGAATGTTCCGGTGATTTTGCTGTGTGCCAGACACTGGTCGTTTACGCAAGTGCATTGCTTTTGTCCATGATGTCACCTGTCCTGGAAGATGTTATCCATGAAGGTGCTGGCAGTCCCTACCAGGGTAACCTCACGTATGCTGTGGTGGGACTTCCAGTGCCAAACTAGCTGCATTAGCTTTCAGCATGCACCTGTGAGCGTGCAGGCCTGTCACGAGCGTGGTCTCCAAGCCGCCCACGTCTCCATCCTGCTCCGACCTGCCATCTGACAGCACCTCGAAAGTCCGAGATGGTTGGTTCCACCAGGTCTAACGGTCTATACCAGGACCTTCCAAGCCCGGTGGTTTTTGGGCACCCCGAATCACCACTAAGAGGCTATTTATAGACACCTCGACTGGAAGGTCCTGGTATAACTCATCTTTTGCAGCAGGTTCTTCAAAGTGATCTGGTGGTGTTCATTCCCGTTTTGGGCGAGTAGTACTTCATCTGGTGTGGATTGCTTGGCGCTTGGCAGACCTCAGCGACCTCTTCAACTCAGGAAAGCCATCCTCCTCGCTCTCCTCACTGAGTCTTGCCTTCTTAGCTGCTTTGGCAGGTGGGTCAACTGTGCTTGGTGCTGCGCTGCTAGCGGCTGCTGGTGGGGCCTGTGCTTTCGCCTTTGCTTTGCCCTTTGGAGCTGTGGGGGCGCGGTGGTTCAGTGCAACCTTCCGGGAAAAGTCCCATCCATCTGCCGGCGGAAACTGCAAGGCCCGGAAACGTGCAGCCACGCCTGAGCCCACAACTTCCGCATCTCGCAAGAGCACAGTCGACTCGTCACACAACATCAAACCACTTGGAACACATCACAAAGGTCTGAGGACTCGACCTCTTCAGCGCCGACTGTAGGTCACAACGGAACGTGTGCTAAAACGAACCGCAGGGCGAACGCTCGAAACGCATGTTTCGCTCGCAACGAAAAACGTCAGGCTCTGTGCGCACCTCGAGAGTGGTGGCCACGGCATTCGGCTCAAGTGCTGTCATGAAACTGCAGGCTAAAATTCACATTCGTGTTATTTTGTTGAGACGAATGCGTTCTGCCAGCCTCTCCGAGTTGGATCCATGGCTTTTTCAGCCAACTCATGAACCCTTCGACCAGCTTTTCACTGATCTTCGTGAGGCTATCCGACCATTGCAAATGGGTCGGAACCCAAAACACTTGCTCTCGTGAGACATGCTGCTGAATCCCTCGAATGACAACGATGGTTCGTTTGTCTTCGGTACGAGGGTTCTCGCTGCAAAGAACGTCATACAGCGAGCGGCAGTCTGTCACGGAGATGATCCTGAGGGTTCGGCTCAGCTTGAAGCTTGCTTCATTCATCAGTATCTCCGTCAGGAGGTAGGCAAGGAACGAAGCCCTGTCAATGCCAGTGTCACATGCGCTGGCCTCAGCGCTCAACGTGGATCTACAGATCCTGGCCGACCTTGAGCTCTTCCAATCCAGCAACATACCTGTGCTGACCGTATCAACAGCTTTCGGCTCAGCCAACAGCAACAAATTGCCATGTTGTGAAGCGCTTCCAGCTGCATTTGCCCAACTACTGTCACTGTAGTTGACCACCATGGTCTGCAAATTGATGGCCACCGGCCAAATGCAAACGCCTTGGTCCTTTGTGGCATGGAGGTGTTCCACCGCGAGGTACATGTCGTACAAGTTCTGGTACGTGGCATTGGCTCCACGACTGCTCAATGAGACCACTGCCGACACGTCAGGTCGGGTTTGTCCAGACAACCATTGCAAACATCCTGCGACGGATCGCAGTTCAGGCAGGTCCTCTGGGAGGATGGTTTCAGTGAGCCTCTTCTTGCACTGCACGCTGCCAACCTTCATGCCCTCGATGAAGGCCTTTTGAGTCAACGCCAGGTAGGTCTGGTTGCCATGCTGGCGGAGTGACAGCTCTTTGCCCTTGAAGACAATGCTGTTGTCCAATGTAAGCACTTCTTTGCTGCCCCACTCAAACAAACTTGTCAATGCACTGCGGTCCCAACGTTCATTGTGAACCAACAGAAAATCATCAACATATGCAATCAATGCTGCAACCAACATTTCGTGCTCTGTACCTGGCAACTTGGCGTAAAGGACAAAGAGCATCTTGTCCAGGGTGTGTTGGCGGAATCCTGCACTCAGGAGTGTCTTGGTGACATGGTTGGTCCATGTCTTGGGTGCACTTGCCAAACCGTAGATGTTGCCAACGATCTTGTACAGAGGAGAACGAAATGTGCCTGCTCGTTTGGTGATGCCGTCTGTGGGCGGTGACAAAAACAAAGGCAGCTTCCGAGGGTCAGGCTCACCCTGCAAAAATGCTGTCTTGACATCTCCTGTCCACAACACCCAGGCGTCCTTGCCGTCAAGCAAAAGGTGGTTGTGGCCGCTCACGAACAATGCATATAGCACGTGCTCGCTTTGGCGCATTGGAGTTGCGCTCTCCCTGCTAAGTTCATGCAGGTCTGGGTCTAAATGACCCAAGGCAACCACGCGAGTCTTCGCTCGCAACTGTCCTTGGCCTTTGGACTTGTCTCGATAGGCTGCTCGAGCCTTGAGGATGCGTCGCCTCAGCTGTGGATCTTGCAGGACCTTGTCTGCTTCCTTTTGGGATAAAGGAAGGACGGAGTTGAATCGCTGCCAGCTCTTTTCTTCGGCACGAGCTGATTCGACAAACTGCTGGATGGCTTCTTCTCCCATTTGCAGTATTGCTTGCCAAGGCAGTTCCTTGTCCAATGCTTTCTGTTGTTGTCTTGTTAGGGTCTGTGAGGAGCCGGCTTTGCTGATGTTGACATGGCCTTGGTGTCCTTTGGTCATGTCGTCTGCTGATGCATCCGAGTCTGAAGACTCTCCGGTTCCCATGTACTCGGTTGTGGTGCGATATGCTCTCAATGCCATGTGTGCTGTGTAGGGTAGACACACATCTTCGGATCCATCGTGGTGGTCTGGTTGCTGTGTCATGCCGTCTGGTGTGATCACCAGGTTGCTTTGGTGTGGCCATTGTGTCTCTGGTTCGTACCAGAGCTCTGTCACCATGTCGGTGCGCACTGGAGAAATGGGGAGCCCATCTTGAGCGTCCGAAAAGGGAGCGTCCCAAAGCACTTCGCCGCTTGGAAGGGCGAGTACTCGACGGTGCTGGATGCATCTCTTTGGAGGGCCGGTGAGATGCGTGGTCTGCAGTGTCTGTGATGACACGTCACGACGTGCCCAGACTCGGAGGGTCTGGTCTGCCGGTGTTCTGGATGTGGCCATGCGGTGATAGCCGTGGAGGATGTATGCGCTGGGTGTCAGCCGCTGCTGCCGGGTGTGCTTGAGCACAAGTGCCTTGTATGTTCGTTGTGCTGGAATTGGTTGTTCCATCTCGGAACTGGTCCTCTTAGAGGAAGTTTCCTGCACAAGGTCTGGCGGTGTTGTTGGAGCTATGTTCTCCAGATGTGGCATATGCGGCTGTGATGGTGCGCTATCTGGCAGTTTATCCACGTCGATGACCTCGGTCGTCCCAGGCTGCTGACTTGGTGTCAGTGCTGACTGTGGGTCAGCCTGTTCTGGAAGAGGTGGTGCATGAGGTAATGCATGCCTCGGTGTGTATGGTCCTGGGCCTGGTGCATCTTCAAGCTCAGGTGCTGCTGGTGTTGGTGGGCCAATTGACCTGTCGCGTGGTCGACGGCCACCTGGTGTGCGAGAGCGGTGCTGCCTTCGCACTGGTGCATTCACTGGTGGTTCCATCCACTGTTCGGGAGTCATTCCAAAATGGCTTTGGGTTTGGATGACTGTCTTGTTGTATGTGGGTGAATGGACGTTCAGGTGGTATTCCACCTGTTGGCTCACAGGCGGTCCATAGGGGTCTGTCTGCACTGCTTCTTCGGCATGTTCCTGCGGCTGCCGCTGCTTTTGCTCTGTGGTCTCAGTGGCTGGAGGTGGTACGAGAAAAGGTATGCCTGATGTTGGAATGTCAACTGGTTCCTCTGGCATGTCGGTTCCGAGGGGCTGATCTGGGTCCTCGGGTGGTTCTGGAATGGACTCATCTCGAAGAAGCCCTTGGTGCAGATTATCGGCTGCTGTCCTCAGCTCTTTGATCTGCTGGTAGTCAGGGTTCCAGCACTCGAAACCACGGGCAATGCGTAGCTGATGAGGTGCCACGCGAATGGTGTTTGTGCCTGCTTGCAACCACATGCTTTTGCCGTCAGGATCACGTCCGAGAAGGCGGGCTAACTTGTAGCCTCCTCTTTTCTTGCCAGACCGTGCTGTCCAGCGCCAGTATGCCACTGTGGCACCGATCTCCGGAATATCGGAGTTCTGTGGCTGTGTGTTTCGGAGCAGTGCTCTCCGAAGACTGCTGTCCACTGCCATTGCTGCTATGTGTTGTTGTGCCTCTGCGCGGATGGTGTCTGCGAATTGCTGTGCATGGGACCTTGTTTGTCCCGTGACGAGGCCGTTGGGGTCGTTGAGGAGATCAAGACCCTGTCTTGGGATACGGCCGAATGCAGCTATGTACGGTGGGCGGCCTGTGCTCCATGTGCAGCTGTTCTTGGCATGTGATGTCATGGCCGTTAGGATCTCCATCTGATCTGGTCCGGAGATGCCCTGGGAATCGATCACTCTTTCCATGATCTCCCGGTATGTTGCGTTGTGTCGTTCGATGAGGCCAATCTTGTGGTGGGCCTCTGCTGGGATGTAGTCGATGTAGACTCCGGCTTCATCCATTGCTTCTTCGAAGGTGGATCTGAAT